ATATATATATATATATATATATATATATATATATATATATATATATATATAGATAGATAGAGATAATATTAGTGGTCAATATATATATATATATATATATATATATATATATATATATATATATATATATATAGATATATAGATAGATAGAGATAATATTAGTGGTCAATATATATATATATATATATATATATATAAAAAACCTCAAAAAGGATAGAATCCAGGTAGAACTTAATGTCCAGAGCACAGTAAGAATATAATATAAAAGGCTCAAATTCCATGGTTATAATTTATTACATTGAAATCGTAATCACGATTCAATTCATCAGATACCTATATGTGTAGTATTATTATTTCATACATTTGCATGTTCACACAAGCTATGCGTTGTTTATCGCTGGTGATAAGTTTCCAGCATCTTTCTCAGCATCCCCCCCACACGTTCCAGCATCTTTCTCAGCATCCCCCCCACACGTTCCAGCAACACCGTAATCAGGATATTCCCATCTCTCCATTGATTTGCCATTTCATATAATCTTTTGATATAATGCCTCGTGTGCCAGCTATTAAAGGCACCACTGTAATTTTAATATTCCATTCTCGTCTTAGCTCCCTAACAAGATCCTGTTATTTCTCCGATTTTCCCATTCATTCATTTTCATAGAACTATCTACTATTTTCCAGGTTCCCATTTCCTTGTTTATGAAACCCGATCTCTTTGCCTGTGTGGGATGGTGGCTTTGGATCAGAGTACAAGATTTTTACGACATCCTTTGGGTTGAACTTGAAATCAAGGTATATCAAAGTTTCCAGGCTATCATTGTCCTTGCTCTGTTTTAACTGTTTATATTCCTTTTGGGTCATTATTATTATCATTATTTTCTAGTAATTAATCAATGGATAGCGGGCCACAAAGTGTAGCCTTAGGTAACATGCAATTTTCCTGTAAATGTTCATCACTTTTTGGATTATTCTTGCCTTTCCTAAGAGGCTTAATTTCTATAACCGTTCCACTGGGCAATCAATGCTAATTTTCTTTATCAATGTATCTATTCTGTCTGTCACTGTATCAAGTGAACCAATGACAACTGGCAACTGGTATGATTGTGACCTCCTTCAAATTCCAAAGTCTTACAAGTTTAAACTTCAATTGGTCATAATTGATTACTTCTCTTCTTCCTTTTACTCTATCCTTTTATAAAAAGGGGGACGATGAAGCAATGGTTAACCCTTCTTTTTCTATTTTATCTTCCACCATTATATCCAATTTTTTGTGCTCCAGTTTCTTTATTATTATTATTAGTAGTAGTGGTAGTGATTGTAGTAGTATTTAGGTGATTACTAGAAAAAGCAATGATTGTATTACAGTTGTATGTGGTACTTATAATACCACATACAACTGTAGTACAATCATTGCGTTTATTATTGATAGTTATGAAGTTTATCTTTATACAGCATCAGATGCAATAGAAGAGTATTTATGTAGATAAATTGTTGTGCTAATCTTTCAAGCGAGTAGAGATTGCCTTGAAAATCAGCATTCACAATCCTGTTTTTACCACCCAGTTTTTTGTTGTTTTATTATTATTAAAGTAACCTTTGCCGTACATCTAATTATTTAGCCAAGCTTGGTCTTAAAAAAATTAGAAAAACAGCCATAAATATCCATCACTTTCCGAATAATGCTTGTCGTTCCTAATAGGCTTCCGTTCTATTGCAGTTTCAAAGGACAATCAATGCAAATTTTCTTTATCCATGTATCAAATGAACCAATGACAACGGATATGATTGTGACTTAATCAACTTCTAAAACCTTGCCAGTTGAAATTTCAGTGAGTCATAGATACTTTCTCTTTTTCCTTTTGCTTTGTCCTTGTTTTAATAGGACACGATGAATCAATGATAAACACATTCTTTTTCTATTTTATCTTCAATAAATATATCTAATTTATTGCGTTTGAGTTTATGTTGAGGAGGCACGGTGGAGTAATGGATAGCGACTCGGATTGAGGAATCGGAGAGCAGAGTTCTAATTCCAGTTGAATCCATTACATTCATTTACGTGTTAATACCCCTGGGAAAATTATGAATCCTCTTCCCTTCACCCTCCCCCACAAAAGCTATGGGTAAATAGCAGGACAGACCGGGTTCTATAGACTTGGATGGCAACTGGTCTACCGCAGAAAGAAATGGCAACCTACTGCGGAAAAAATCTGCTTCGTCAGTCATGTATCGAACGATACATGATCGCGTAAGCGTGTAGCACGCATGACACATAAAAAGTAAAAAATATGGTGTATTGAAATAGCTAACAAAATCTTGCATATTTATGACCTAAGTACTTCCTTAGGTTTATGCTTTTACCATTCGTTTTATCGCTGAAAACTCAACCTCATGAAACTTCCAATGATTGCTATTATTTTTGGTGGTGGTAGTAGTGTTGTCAATAGAAGTAGTAGTAGTAGTAAAATGCAATAGGACTTAATGAGGAAAATAGATACAAAATCTTTGCACATTTTGGTTGTTTATAAACACTATGCTTATTTAAGTCTAATTTAATAATAATAGTATTAAATTGCAATTAAGAATTAATATTTAAGCTTTTCGTACCAATTTCTTCCAGAAAAAGTGGCATATATTTGACTGCTCAAGTGTGCGTACATAAACGATAATTGAAAAAATGACATAACACTCACCCACACGTGAGGACGCAATACTCAAAAACTAACAAAGAAAACACAATGCATGCATATAGACACAACACTATCAGCACAAAAATAAAACTTTTTCATAATGGCGTACGAAAGTCGAAAGCATAAATTGGTCTGAGCCCTAAAAAATTAAATTAAAAAGAACTTTCGTTGAACTTCAGTAAAACATGAATATATGTCGTTTATATAAATTTGGTTAAAGACCAGCGAAAGTCTATTTTTTAATTATTTATTTTTCTATATTTTGGACCATTTTCATGATTTCCAGAGAAATTTGAATATAGATTCTCCGATGTGTGTGTACTTTCAATTTCATAAGCCATTATCAATGAATTTTTTGGTGATTATGTTGTAACTATATGAATACACTGAGTTTTCCTGTTCTTAGTTTTTTTTTTCAAATATCGCGTCTTCACGCGTCATGTCAGGTTTTTTTCAAAGTATCTCATCTTCATTTGTCAACTTGTTTTGTACTGTTTTTTTTTTTTGCTTTTAATTATGAAATATATTTAGCATACTTGATCCTAAATTTGATATAATTTTATTGATGTTGGGTTATTTTATGATTAATGTCTCTACTATATATACTAGTTTTTTACTGTTTGTGTAAGAGTGAGATAGTATTTCTATATTATTAACAAGGATTTGTTTGTTTTCTATTGTGCTGTTTTGTTTTGTTTTGCGCTGATGTGCGATTTAATTGAACTATTATCGAATAAATGATAAGTTAATCGCGTGATAATATAGTGATTGTGTAACCAATGTATGTTTTGCTTGAATTATTATTAGAGAAGCATTCTCCAAGTGGACAAGCGAATTCATAGAAAACATTGGTCTGTTGACATTTTGATTTTTTCATTGTATTATTGGTGGTGATTATGTTAGAGATTTTTAGGTTTTTGTAATCATGGAGATGAATTTAATCTTTGTTTTTGTCGATAGGTGATATGTATCGATGTACTAGGTTTCTTAAAAGTTTTCGTTTATTTTATGGTTGTGTTGTTAATTTATATTAGAAAAGACCTGTGAAAATTTCACGGTTTTCCTATTTGATTATTCTGATGAATCTTAATTCTTAAGTTAAAGATTGCTCCTGGCAAGTTCTATGACAATAAAATATACGTAAAAATTCCCCTATCGCATCGTTAAATATTTAATCTTAACAAATTTAACAAAATATTGCAATAATAATCATAAATATGAATGCTGGTCGTTATTTTAAGAAGTGGGTACAAATGAAAAGAATTGGCATTGACAACTTTTCCATTTTAACTTTTTCCACACACCTCTTTTTTTCTTTCTTTCTTTTTCTCACTGTTGAGATGTTGTGAGGTTCCCGCGTGTCGGTGTATGAATCAAGACAAACACAGTTGTAGAGGAAAATACTGGTATATTCATAAAAGCAATTAACAATAGAGTGATTAGTAGAACGAAGGTTGGTTAGTACGAAACATTATCCAAAGTCTATAGTCCAACGGTATGTACCGTGTAAGCTTATCTGGACTGCTAACGCTGACTCTCTCTCTCTCTGACCCTCTGTCACTCTCTCTCCAGAGCTGACTTATATAAGAGGGACCAGTCCATTACTAGTTAGAAGGTGGGTGCGCCCCAACACTCACTGAAACCAAGTAGTGTCTTTTCCCTTCTTTCCACGCAATCAAATCTGTATAGTCCTTTATTTATGCGGTATTGGTAGAGCGTAACGGTCGTGCGAACTAACGAAGGGAAGGACAAGCACAATTATAATAGGCTTATTATTCATTTTTATTTTTTCTAAGGCTAATAGATTCGAATAACGAAACCTTTAAAACCTCCGTCTATAAAAATACAATCAAATTAATTACATACCTTCCCAGTTACAACACTGACTCTCCACACAGTAACCACTATAAATAATTTAATAAACCACATTTAATACTTTCTACCTATTACCTCATAAATATTTATCCATTGTCTAAACATGAATTGAAACATAGACCTATTCGTAAAATAGTTTCAAATTCTACATAACACTTCCTAAAATTATTTTGTTTTATTGTTTATAGTTTAATTATTACTTTTTATTAAAAATCAGAAAATATTTTTAGATTGTAAGATTTCTTTTTGGAGATAATAATAATTTACTGATACAAGTTCTACTAATTAACCCATAGCTGGAGGGGAGAAGAGTTGAATTTATAAATTTTCCAAGGGTATTTGCGTGTAAGTGAATATAACGAACCCAACTGGTATTGGAACTCGGCTTTCCAATTTCGAGTCGTTAGCCATTACACCATCCACACATCTAAGCTTACAGCACTTGGTATTCCCAAACAGTTACCCATCTAGATACTGAACAGGCTCGACGTCGCTTAACTTCGGCGATCGTGCCGGAACCGGTGTTTAAACGTGATATGGCTCTACGCCTAACAAAACAAAACAAAAAAATAAATAAAAAAAATAACGGAAGAGGTTATTTACCAAATTTTACTTAGTCTGGCATAAGGCCTTTGTAGTACAGTACCCAGTGAAGAATAAATTCGCTATACGAGCAAACTGGTCAGCAAGATGAATTTGTTAACTATAGTTGGCACCAGAAAATATGTAGTGATATGTAGAAGAAATTTACGAAACGTAATACGATAGATATTGATTTTCAAACAAAGACACGGAGATTTTTATATAATTCCGTTCTTTTTTTTAAATCGAATGTGTATTTTCTTGTTTGAATTTTTTTATTATTATATTGATGCAGAAGAGTCATTTCAGTGCGTCCACTTGACATGGTCATTGAAAATAGGATTCCAGAAACATTATTTAATTTAAATACCTGATCAAGGAAAGGACGAATGAAAAAAAGGAAAATATATAAGAAGCTGAGAAAGAGGTGAAATAGGAGAAAGTTTTTAAAAATTCGTGGAAGAAGGCGAAAATGACAGAAGAACGATTCTAAAGAAAAAACAAAAACAGTAAAGAAGTAACAACAGGAGAGAGAGAGAGAGAGAGAGAGAGAGAGAGAGAGAGAGAGAGAGGGGGAGGGGGGAGATCTTTGGAAAAATAAAAGAAAAAGAGGAGAATGAAGACAATCTTCAGAAGAAATTCAAAAATAAAAATAAAAACAACGAAAAAGACGGAAAAATAAATTAAAGAAAAAAGTAAAAGTGTGAATGTAATGACGGATTGCATTTTAATTGGATGGTAATTTAATTATTAATCCCTATTAATAGCCTGTAAAATAATAGGCTATTGTTATTAATATTGTGTTATTACTTTATGTAGTCATGTGATATTTTGGTGAGAATAGGTTCTTTCTAACTACTTCTGCATCATTTTGATTTCATGTCTGATCGAGTGATGGGTTACTGAGTACTTTCTCACCGTTTTAGTTTACTTACAACATAAGTATTGCATTAAGAGAAACAGGCTATAAATTAATTTCGTTCTATATATTACCGCCTGCCAAAATCAAACTGACACATTCATGTACATATTCACAAAGGAACATATTCATGCACATACAAGGACGCCTATGAGCACACGGAGGAGTGTTTTGCTGGAAATATTGTTAGTATGTCCCCATCCTAAGGGCTTTGAATGCTAGTTTATTTTCCATGAGTACAACGTGACGGTAATAGCTGCTATATAATCTTTTGAGAGATTACTATCGTGTGCATTATTGTATAAGTCTCAGCTGCACAAAGTTAATCCTTTGGTATTATATTTCGTGTGTACATCACAAAATGTTTGCATTTTTGCTCCATCCTTGGCCCCACTCTATTCCTTATTTTCATCAACGGCCTTCCTGACGCCATAGATTCCCAAGATGGCATCTACACGGACAACACTACAATTTACTCCTGCCTCAAAAATAAATCTAGCGTCGCTGACAAAACTAACCTGGCCGCTCGTCTTGAAATGGACCTCCAATCGGTTGTTAATTGGGGCAAGAATTGGCTGGTCAACTTTAACGCCTCAAAAACTAAACTATTCTCTATTAATCACCATAGAGATCCTTCCCTGCCCCCCATTAGAATGTCTGATAGTCAACTTCTTGAGAGCAACTCCCTGCGTCTGCTCGGTCTCACGTTGACTGCTGACCTGAGATGGAACAAATACATTGAGTCAATTGCTTCGTCCACTACGAGGAAATTGGCTCTCTGTGCCGCGCCAGGAAATTTTTCTCCCCGGAATCGATACTTCAAATATACAAATCAACCATTCGCCCTTGCATGGAGTATTGCTGCCATATATGGTCTGGTGCACCTTCTGTTTACCTCGGAGTTCTTAACAAGATCCAGAGACGGATATGTAATATAATTGACCCTGATCTGGCATCTCGTCTACAGTCATTCTCTCACAGACGCGCTGTCGCCTCTCTGTTTTTTTAATAAATACTTTCATGGTAATTGCTCCGATGAGCTGCTTTCACTGGTTCCCAGACTTCATGAATTCAAGCGCCCTACGAGGCTGGCATCCCGCTCCCACCCTTTCACTGTAGAAACTTTTAAATGTAGCCGTCTCTTCTACTCCAATAGCTTCATACCTCGCACCTCTCGCCAGTGGAACACCCTTCCCAATTACTGTTTCCCTGAGAGCTATAATCTCCAACTATTCAAATGTAATATCAATCGACATCTCCAGTTACCTTGATCTACCCACTATCCTTCTCCTCATCCTTTCTTCTATCACTCCTATCTGCTCTCGCTCCAAATCTTCTGCAACACCCTGCATCCTAGTGGCTTCACGCCTTGCTCGGGGCGTAATGCTTTAAAAAAAAAAATAATAAATACTCTATATTTACCGATAGTTTCCGTATTTTCCTGATCTTTTCAGGTCGCAAAAAAGACTATTAATACATAAAAATAGTGTTTAATGTAGCACGTAATTGTTAGGCATCACTTCCTTCCTTAGGTGCCATAGGTGATACACGCTTGGACGATCATATCTATTTCAGGTTCATGATTGACTTGGCAGAAGAATTCGCGCAGTAAGCTGCCGTTAAATTCTGTGGTAGACTGGTTGCCAACCAAGGCTATAGGACACAGTCTGTCCTGCTATTTAACTCGTACCTGGAGGGAGAAGAGATTGATTCATACATTTCCTCATTAAGTGAATGTAACGATTGGAAATCGAACTCAGCTCTCCGAATTCTTATTCTGAGCCTTTATCCATTACACTCCGCCCATCCAAGCTTAAAGCAACTGGTATTTCCAATCGGTTACCAATCTAAGAACTGATCAAATTCAACGTTGCTTAACTACTTCGATCGGGTGCGTGCTGATGTTTCAAATTGATATGACCGTAAAACTAAAAGCTACTGTTCGTATAATATGAAAACTATCAGGTGTAGAAACAAAAAGTGATTATCAAATCCTTCTTGAAAAACGAAATAGTTACTGTATATTCAGCCACGTGGCGGGACAAATGAAGGTTATGAGTGACGTGATCAAAGAACAGAATAAAGTGACGTGATTAAAGGAAAACACGTGACCGAATACATGTCATTAGGAAATAATAACTAACTATGGATTTGGGAACTTTTATATAAATACAACCAGTATATTAATTCTTAGAGCATTCGAGCAGAAACTTTTCTTCTCTGTCTTTTGAGTCCCCATCGTTTCAGCACAAGGGCGGCTACAACCCATACTGCTGCAAGTGATCAGACGACTTATGCTAAGAAAACCCTATTCCTCGTTTGACATTTCTTTTTCTCTCCTTACTACGTCGAAATAAAAGGAGTGGGTACTCTGCCACAAACAGTGAATTGTGCCATGTAGTTATCCTAAGACAACTAAAATATAAGACCAATGACCGTTGCACAACTAATTTAATTAATTTGATGATATTACAATAAAATTTCACATTATTGCAATAGATCATCAAATAAATGTGTCAAGCGAGAAGATTGTTGACAGGGACAATGATGTGTTATCTAGAGATCAAAGAAGCATGGATGTTTCTCGTATTGACTCTTTTTGTTAAAGATAATATGCCAATGGTTAACTAGCTAGATCAACAGATGCTTATAATTCTAGTGAATTTGTTTGCAGACCCAAGCTTGTAACCTTTTGCCAAACTAAAATAATTTTAGCAAATACTTATTGCTACCGTATTGGGTTCGATTCTACTGGTGTTGTGCCAAACTAATCTAAAATCCTCATTACTACTAAAGTGCATTCGATCAACATTAGGTGTCCCGCGCTTATGACTATGTCTCAGATTTAGCAAAGGTTAATCAATACAAATATCTACCGTAATCTTATTATCTTGCCAAGGATACACTTCTGGCTAATATTTTATGAATTTGCTTCAACTGAAAACTAAAAGAAAAGACTAACTTCTTGGGTCACATCTTTAACAATGCTACTGACCTGACTTGTAATTATTTGACCGAAATCATTACTGCTATTAATTTTCCAAATAAATCAGAAAAATGATATTTTCGCCTTTTTATTTATTTTTTTTTTTTAAATATTAGCTTCTAAAATTTTTTAAATGTTTTATATGCGGAAAAAGTCTATAGGTGTCATTCTAGAAATTAAGTACAAGTGAAAAAACAAAACAAAATGTGTATTTAAAATCAAAACAAAAATATTTACAATCGATTTAAAAAAATATTCAATTAATGACAAGATCAGAAAAAATATAGAACCAGTAATCCTTAAAAATTAACATCTTATTTAGCCCCCTGTTTTCTGGAAGAGAAACGGGAAAAATTATAATTACTTGATTCATAAGGACGTAACTAAAATCATCTTCACTTGAACAATTTAAAAGTTTTCTTTTTTTTTTTTTTAAATAAATCATTATGATCTTTTACTAGTTTGAGCACCAAATTATATCCATCATCTTTCATACTCCATCTTATTTCCGCAGGATTATAGCTCAAACCTTTTCCCCCAACCAGCTGCAGTAAAAAAAAAACAAAAAAATGTTACTATTTTCAACCTTATACTGGTACTAACACCAATATTGTAATTATGTCGACCTTTCCAAAAACGATATTCTCCACCCTTATTGAAAATTTACCGACTTTTTTCCCTCCCAGGCTAGCCGCTATTTCGGCTTCTTTAGCACAAAATTCAGCTGCCTATGAACATTTTTTATGCAGTGATAAGGCACCTCCCACTTGCGACACTAAATTGCCTCCTCAAACTACAGAAGAGTTCCACTTTTTCTTTCACACCTACTGTTTCTTCAATTGCTCCTCCCACTTTCACCACTTAGCACCTCATCGTCTTTTTCTTCGCACCCGCCTTTACCTCACACCCTATCGACCACCCAACCGACAAATATTTTCTCCTTACCTTAATCCTAGTGGTACGTACCCTGACCCACATCTCTTATGAGATATTATCAGATATTAACTAAAGTTTTCTTCTATTGTTGTTCAAATCAAACAGAAGAAAATATAAA